TAAGGGCAAAGATTCGATTCATGTGATTCATAAACACTGCTAGAGATTTGTGAACCCAAATGGCATCACTAAAAATCCATAGTGGCCATATCTAGTGCAAAAAGCAATCTCCAGCACATCCTCAGTTCTAACTTATAATTAGTGATATCTCAATCTCAAATCAATCTTGAAAAAGAAAGAAAATCCCATGAACTAATCTAGAAGATCATCTATTCTATGCAATGGGTACTTATTTTTAACTGTCACCTTATTCAAATGTCAATAGCTAATGCAAAGCCTCATACTACTATCCATCTTCTTAACAAACAATACCAGTACTCCCCACAGAGACACAATCAATCTTATAAAACCCTTCTCTTATGGCTACATTTAATCATCAGACATAGGAGTAGATAGCTTAAATAACTTTCATTAGTTATATGTAAACTAGTGGATTCAAACTCAAAGCCCCATTGGTCCAAATATCAACTCCTCATAGCAAATCCTAACTTAAAAATAAGGTAGAGAGGGAGAGGAAGGGAAGGGAAGCTTACTAGAAGTGATTGAAGGCTCAAAACCTTCACAAATAACCTAAGAACGTGTGCCCTAGCAGAACCAAACACATGCCTCTTAGTTCTTCTCTAATTCTTTTTCGCTTTCTTGACTATGCGTGGGTTTCATTTACCAAAAACTTGCCCCTCCGTCGTGATGCATGCAATGTCCACTGTGATAATTGGTACAAAGAAAGCTACCTAAAATTTAAATCTCCAATTAGGCCCACAGCTCATTACCACTTCAAACCCTATTCGAAAGCTATAGATAAAGCCTAATAGGTCCATTAGCCTTATCTAATCATTATCTAACCCATTTATGATTAAATTTCTCAAATTTTCCTCTATTTACTTAATTAATATGAAAGTTCATTTCCAAAATGTTACATAAAATCTGATTGCATTGAACAAAATAAGGAAAGAGAGGAGGCTACAAGAGGAAGGACAAGGAGACACTTGCAAAGTCCTTAGTCAAAGTCAAGGTTTAATAGTCAATAGTTAATCCAAGTTAATAATGGAGTAAAATTGTTTTCTTTTTAAAAGTTTCAGAACAAAATTGTTCCAAAAAAAAGTTTAAAATATCAAACACTCCTTACAAAAAAACTTAGGACAGTTTTGCCCTTAACTCTAAGAAAATATCTTTTTATTACCATGTCTAATTTGATGAAAATAATGAAATAATTTAGATTTTTTGCAATGATAAACAAATACTTTAACAACTCTTAGTGAAAATTTTACAGATAATATGGGAAATATATATTATTCAAATTTAATTTTTAATTATAAATAGCCATGTAAATTCATATGGTCATAGAAAGAAGAGAATTTAAATTATTTTTTTTTGGGGGGTTTGAGATTCCATGGAATGGTCGCCAAATCCATCCATGTTAGGACGGAAAGCACATTTTCTTTTTATAATGGATTTCATGGTATTCCAAGATTTAAGAGCCTCCCTCTATGTGTGCATAATTTTTATTTTTTATTTTTTGGTTTATAAGCTTTGGATAATTGAGAACACGAAAAGGTTGTAGGGATGAACTTTCATACTTTCATTGCTTGACGCACAATGTCACCTTTTCCAACTTTCTGCGCTTCCTTTGCTAGACTAGAAGGGAATATATATATAATATTATATATATATATATATATATATCATTTCATATTTATAAATCATTTCAATCATGTTTTTGATAAAATTAAAAAAATATTAAAATTCATTAATTTTATATAAAATTTTAATTATCATTTAACTTTACTCCTTTCATACACACACACTTTTTATCAGCATACATTTTCTCTTCAACATTTAATAGATGACAAAAAGAAAAATTTATAATAAAAAATTAATAACATTACTTGTAATAAGACAAAAAAGAGTCCTTTTTTTTTTACCTTATTATAAATAGGATTGGGGAGGAGGATGCTCCTCCTTCTCATCATATAGATGTTATTTCTAACTATCCCACCAAAAATGAGTAGTTAAAATTCTTAGTTTATTCTTATTACAAGAATCTTCTTAAAAATATTTTCTATCTTATAGGTAACATTTTATTTTATTCATAGACAAATATGAAAAGGCAAGATCAAAATAAATGTCCCAAAATATAAGATATTTTGAAAACAATGGTAAAAGAGCAAATTGATCCTTGAACTATAGGTCCAGCAGTGTATAGGACTTTAAACTCATATTTTGTATAATGTTCTGCTTCAATTTTTTAAAACGGTGCAATCTAACTTTGACATTAATAAAAGTTAACTTTGACCATTAATTGACCCCAAAATGATAGAAAAGAACTTTAAAAATAACTAATAAAGTTTCTTGATCTTTTTCTGTAATTTTTTAGGGTCCTTTATTATAATTTTTTATTCTTTTTCTGTATTTTTTAATATTATTTTTGATCAACTAATGGTCAAACTTAACTCTGGTTAACAACAGGGTTTTGATTGCACTGTTTTTTAAAGTTAAAAAATACTATGCAAAGAATGAATTTAGAAACTCAAATGCTCTTGAACCTATAGTTTAGAAGCTAGTTTGTTCCTTTATCCTCTAAAAAAAAAAAGATTTCGTTAATGATAATTATTTGAACATTTCAATCCTTAAATAAGTTTTCTTCCTTCTTTCTCATTAATAAAAGGTGTTTTTAAAAGTTTGTAAAAGTTAAGGTTATAAATTGTATTTAATAAATTTTATTAATACATATAATTTTGCCAAAACAATACCTTATAAATTGAGATGGATGAAATAATTTATATTCCATCTTTTGTGCAAAATGATTTATAAAATAAGATCATAAATTCTTTTTGGAAAATAATTATGCAAAATGATTTATAAAAAAAGATCATGAACTCTTTCTGGAAAGTAATTTACCGTATACTCCCTCAAGTCCTTAATATAAAATAAAGTAAGTTAACTTCTTACATAGATCTAATACACCACATAATTTATGCTCTGTTTAATAAAAACATGCCATATTATATTGCTATAAACATAAATTGATTATATTATTAATGATATTAGAAAGAAAATAGACAAAAAAAACTAAAGAGGTGTTCTCTAATTTTTATTAGATAGAACATGGATGGCATGATGCATTGGATTTATGTAAAAATTTCTTAGTAAATTTAATTAAATTCATGCTTATTAAGAAATACTGGTTTAATTTTACCATTCTTTGCAATTAATAATCATTAAAAATTGTTGTCTAGGACTTTAAAACTAATAATTAAATAAAGGTAAAATTGAAAAATAAAAACTAATTGTTCTAACTGATCTTAATAATATTAAAGACCCAAGAAAGTACTAGTATACTCTCTCCAAATTATAATATAAAACATCTTTTAAAAATCTTACTTAGTCTAAAATATAAAATATTGAGTAATTTTTATAATTACTTTTTCAATTATACCCCTACTTTATTTATTACTTTTTAAAAAAAATTATACATTAAAATTTTAATTATCATTATCAAGTCATTTATATAAAATATTTAATGAGATTATAATTAAAAAATGCAATTTTTTTAAAAAAATTAAGGATTCAACATATTATTTTATAATTAAATTAGTTACCAATAAGCATGATTGGCGAGGGTATATGAGAATTGGGTAGGATCTCATTTAATACTCATCATAATGATGATGATAAGCATTTTGTTATGATGACATTTATATTTTATAGCATTATTAATTTAGTTTAAATAATATAAACATATTAACCAATAAAAATTGATCCAATTAATAAGGATCTAGCTTATAATTCATAAGGTTGTGGAATCAAATCTCGCTACTAATGTAAAGACCTTATTAATAAAGATTTTAAAAAAATTCTTTGAATATGAAAACATGCTATGGTCGTAGTAAATTTTTAAGATTAAACTCACCTATATATTTTATTATCAAAAAATATAAACCTACTAAAATTTTTAATCAATAATATTTTAAGTGATCAATTTGTTATTTTAACAATTATTTTTATGGTAGATTTTATATGGGGAAACTTATATAAAAATGTAATGATAAAAAATATAAATCAGCTGAATTCAACCAGAATCCACAATCCAGGCAACAAATATAGTCATGTCAAATTTGATGGGGAAAAGGAAAAGCAAAGGTCCAATTAAGAAGTCGTCAATCAAGGAAGGCTCGGTTCTCAAAATATTTAGTTACACTTTTTTCGGTTAAAGTCATTGGACCATTTTACTTTTCTGAGCCAAAATGGAAATTGCGTAACGCACGCAATCTTCTTTGGTACTATTTTTATTTGGGCTTCATATGGCTCTCTCCCTTGCTGACAGCTGTACTGGATATTGACTTTATCATGGCATCTTTGGCATCCTTTCCGGATATCTGCCAGGCTTTAGGCTTTTGACAAAAAATTTATTACGTAATATTCTTTTTAATTTTATTTATAAATTACTTTAATATATTTTATTAAAATTAATAAAAATTTTAAACTTTCATTATTATTTTAAAATTTAATAAATTTTTATATTTATTTTAATAAATATTATTAAATTTTATTATTAGTATTTTTATTTAAAATATTAATAAAAATAAAAATATAAAGGGGAGTTGAAAATTACAACTACTTTTTTTCAATTTATTTTATCATCACTTTTTAAAAAATGAAGTAATTCACTTTATAAATTATTAAATTAATAATAATATTTATTTTAAATAAAATATTTAAATTAATTTAAAAAGTGATAGAGAAAATAAAAAAATAATATTATATAATTTATTTAATTTTTAAAGTTATATTTATAATTTTATTAAATTTTATTTTTTATATTTTTATTATATTATTATTAATGAAATTATTAAAAATAATTTATAAATAAGATTGAAAAAAATATTTTATAAAAAAATTAAATTTTTTTCTCTCCAATGAATAAGAGGACTCTTTGTTTAAAAAATAAAAAAAGAAAGCAAAAATATTGGAACTTTTTCTTTAGGCTTGATCTCCTAAATTTTGCAATGTTACCCATCGGTAATTCAGACATGTGTTAACTGTTGAGTCTCTGTTTTGACCAATAAATGTGCACGTGTTGCTCTCTGATTTGTCCTTCTTCCACAATCAAATTTTCATGTATTCTTTGACGGTTGACTCACCTCTTCGCCTCCGATCTCACAACGCCGACCAGATCCAAAACATCTCCTCTCTCCTCAGCTTTTACGGCCACACCAAGAGCAAGAACGTCTTCTATTGGTTCAAGAACCATAACGCCGGCGAGCACTTAAAGCGTCACAAACTCACTCCTCCTTCCCTTCCCTGCAAATCATGTTTCTTCTTCACCCAGCACTTTCATTTATTAACTCAATCTCTCTCTCCCCTGATCCTGATGCTTTATTTTATTCATGTTCAGCTGTTCAGAGGGTAGTGGGAGTCGAGTGGCGGCAGAGTCGGAGAGAGTGGTGGAGACTGGAGACGCTTCAACTCTTCCGCTTGGACTCGTCAGGGGAAGCTGAGGCGGGTTCGTGCTAGTTGCAGGGACGATACCGGCGAACCAATGGAGCAACCTCCCCGGTACCTCTCTGCCTGAGCTTTCTCTAACACATTCTGTGCACTTGGCCCATGCAAAGAAAACCAAAGTATGAGAAGAGAAAGTGATTACAAATTCCTGAGTATACATACATTGGCTGGAGAGAAACAAGTTCATTTTACAAGGTTCATCAAGGAAGGAGAAGAGGAAATCAATGGGAAAAAAATATATTCCTCATCAATTTAGATAATATTAATTTAATTTAATTAATTTAATTTAATATTATAATTTTTATAAATTAACTATTTAAATTTATTATGGACAATATAAATTTAATATTTAATTTTTTAATAATTTTTTATTTTAATAAATATAAAATTCAAATAAAAAATAAAAAATTTAAATTTAAACTTTACAAATAAAAATTTAATATTGAATATATACTATTCACAATATATTTAAATAATTAATTTATAAAAATTATAACATTAAATTCAACTACCCAAATTGATAACAAATATATTTATCAAAAAAATTATAAATTTTTATTTTTATAAATATAAAATTAAAATAAAAAAATCTAGGCCATTCAATTTTTTTTTTTTGACAAGCACCAAAGACGAATCCAAAGAAAAAGATACTTGGTTTGTTTTTTTTTTAAATTTTAAAAAAATGTGAGGTGGCAACATTAATAAATAACTCAGACAACAAGACAATATTGTATTATTTTAAAAAGTTTTGAAATAACATTGTCCTGAAAAAAATTTACAATACTAAATATTCTTGGAGATAATTTTTTATGGCATTTGTACCATATTGTCTTGAAAAGAATTCTATTTCACTTTGCTAGAAATAAGAAATATAATTAATTAACATCCATTGATATGTTTGAAATTTATTTTTTTATTCAAAATACTTTTATTGATTGTTTGACATGATAGTTGTGTATTTTTAATAATGCTAACTTAATTATGCTAAATGAGGGTAAATAAATACTCCATGCTGTTTTATTTAAAAGGCAAAAGGAGAAAATGATTTTTTAGTTCTATTTATAAAATATGTTATTAACTATCTATCACAAGTCTTTTTAGCTCTCATTAAATGTTAATATAAAAGGCACATTATTAAACTATTAATGGCTAACAAGTTTTAAATTTTTTCTCAATTTCATATAAAACATGTTTAAAATGATTTATAAATAAAATAAAAAAATAAGTCACAATGTTAACCAATTCAAAGGATCAATGAATATTGTTAAGATTAACAAATATGCTTGAAATTTAATTATTTTATCAAAATGTTCTCATTAATTGTTTGACATTCTAGTTGTTTATTTATGAATGATAAATATTAACAAGGATTGAATCTAGCAAAAAGGGCTATTCCATCATATTTATTACTCAATATTGTTTCAAATATGATTGCTTTTAATAAAAGAACACATGTTCACAATAAAAAAATAATTATGCTAATTAAACAAGGGCAAGAAAAAAACTTATTAAGAATATAAGGTATAATGAGTAATTGTTTCTTATATTTAGGGAAAAAAACTCTTTTATTTCTTATAAAGAGATCCAGAAGAATATTATAATTTTATTATATATATTCACATTGATATATTTATTTCCCTCTATGATGCAAGTTTAGGTAAAAGGCTAGAAATCTGTTGGCACCATCAAGTTTAACTGTGGCATGCAAGCTATTTCTGATAGTAATTAAGAAAGTTTTACAGTGTGATTAATTATCTCTATTTAAATTAGGCAAAATTTAATGTAGCTCTTTGAAAATCAGTTGGTGGCTCGGAATAAGTAGAAACTTTTCTCACTTGGGCAGAACCCTGCTTTATTGCAATCATATGTTGTCTCAATTTTGACTCTTGAATGCATAAAAGAAGAAAAGCAAAGTGGTGTAAAATAAGAAAGAGGAGAGGAACGGAGAGATAAAGAGGAAGGAGAAGGAGAGAGAAAAAAAAAAAGTTAAAACTCTCCAAAACTCTTATTTAATAATATTTAAAAATTTAATATAAATAAAAAACCTAAAACTATTTATAAAAATTTAAAAATATTAAATTAATAATAATTTAAATTTAAATCTCAAATCCTAAATATAAATCAAGTATTAAAGATATTGATATCTAAGATAACAATAAAATAAATATTTAAAGCTAATTTAATGAATTAATATTTTTATTTAAATATTTTTATTAAATAATCCTAATATTTTATATTAAATTTAATTATATTTTATTTCATATTACACCACAAAGACTCTAAAGCATGTTATGGATCACGTAACTCAACAATTTTTTTTTTATTAATGCTTAATAATATAAAGAAAAGAAAAGCCTCCAAAGGATGATTTGTTATATGGGCCTGAAAGCAAGCCCATCACTGAAATACACCCGTTTCCTTTCCACTTAATTACAGACGCATGTACCTTATTAAAATATTTGATATCCTCTATATCAATATATATATATATATATATTGATATCTCAATGGGTTGAGTTGATGTAATTTTTGAATTTTAATTTATAATCTAATCATCAACTTATTAAAATAAAAAAGTTCATAATACATACATAATGATAAATACTTTAACTTTTCAAGAGATAGAGATATTAAATGAAAAATTTTCTTGAACTTATAAATCTAACGATTCTTATGAAACTCCTCGATTTATGACTCAACAATGCAAACTCTACAAAACTTTACTCAACCTTTAGCTAGTTAGAATTACCTGTAAGTATCCCTGTCTGTAACATCAATCTTTCAATGAAAACACCAATACCATAAAAATAAGTCTAAAACATAACCCATAACAAAAAACTAATATGTTGGATGAAAAAATTTTTTAATTTATAAACCTCACTTTTCTTGATATGGGACACATACTACAAAATTGACTATTTGAATCTTGTGAATGGAGAAAAAGATCTCATTAGAAGAGTGTAATGATACCAGATCTGGATAAATATATTTGTTGAAAAATGCATTAGATGCATAACGGTTTTGAAGTGATCAGTGAGAATGATTGAAATTTCAAGGGGAAGATGCAAAATCAAAATCCAAAAAAACATGGGTAAACAAGGATGGGTCAGTTTGTAACATCAAATTTCAAGGTCTTTGTTAGTGTGATTGTTTTCTCAAGGACATCATTTTTGGTCTTGATATTGCAATATCACACACACGACATCATTTTCATGTTCTCTGGCAAACAAGGAAGCCAACCGAATTGTGCCGTTCTCTTGTGGACCCATCAATTCAGGCAAACTTGGCTAATGTCATATTCATATTTGTCCTTTTCTTCTTTTTCTTCATCATCTTTTTTTTTTTTTTTTTGTTGAACCTTCTTCATCTTAATTAAGCTGCTGCTGCGTTTAAAGCACTGACAGTTTTGCTTCTTTTTCACTTATTCTCAATTATTGGAATTGCAAAAACAATGCAATTTCGGAAAATGATGACTCAAATTATAGATGCAAAAGCCTAGATGTCAGTTTTGACATGACATTTTGTGCCTTTTTTTCAAATAAATTTATCTAATTTTATGTATAAATATTTTTAATATATTTTATTAATATAAAAAAATTAAATTTCATTAACTTTATTTAAAAATTTAATAAATTATTAATTTTTTATTAATTATAAATAATTTAATAATATATTTTCTCTTTTCATCGTTTTAATGAAGGATAAAAAAAAATTTATAATAAAAAATTAATAATGTGATTTATAAATTAAATAAATTTTTTTTTTACCCTATAAATAAGATCGGAAGGAGTATTAAGTCTACCACATATTCCTTATGATCCAAAATATAAACATATTTTAACAATTATCTGCATATGAAAAAAAATCTTATTCTCATGAAAATATATATTTCTTTTTGTCCAAAATATAAGCATATTTCAACAATAATCCTCAAACCACTAAATGATTATTCTTATGAAATTATATTATTCTCCCTTTTTATATTTAGTTTCAATTTATGATGAATAAAAGGGTTGTAAATTCACAAACATAATAATCTTGGTTAATGAATACAGGGGTTAAAATAAAAAAATTGCAAATACTAACTTATTTATATTTTGGACTAATATTGATTAGCAAAAAATGCTTATATTTTAAATTAGAGGAAGTATTACTTTCACTTTTAACCCATAATCTCAATTTATGATGAATGAGAAAAACGTTATAAATTTACAGACATAGAAATTTAAGTTAATAAGTCCCGGGATAAAATAAAAATTTTTTTATTACAAATACTGAGATTTTATATTTTAAGATAAGATCAATTAAAAAAATGCTAATATTTTAAAGAGACGGTGTATGCAATTGGTTGGCTCTATAGACTCTATAGCATGTGGTGGAGATCCTTTTTCACCTTCCTAATTAAAGTTGTCAAACTCATAATTTTAAATAAATTCATAATTATAATATGAACTCTTATCGTCAATTAAAAAATGTAAATTCATAAGAATTTATTATTATCAATAAATGTCATAAAAAATTATTTTAAGATAGGCCAAATGATAAAAATTGGAATAGAAAATATATTTATTTTATCAATATATAAAATATTTTTTATTATATGAAGAAAATTTGAACTCTAATCCAATCATATCCTTTCCCATTTTTTCACCTGTTCTAACCTTAGGTGATTTAATTTTTATTTAATATTCAAATCATATTAATTTTAAGATTATTGATCTTTTATGATCACTTATAATTAATTTTAGTATACTATGCATGAACTTTAAATTCATTTACTATATTTTTTTATAAGACACTTGCTCATATCTTTTTGGGATTTCGCTTTTTCCTCCTGTTTATTTATGGTCATTACATCCGTTGTTATCATATATAAAAAGACAGTGAAAATTGTTGAAGATGCTTAACAGGTCAGTTGGTTAATAATTATTGTGAATGTTGGAACCAATTTAAACTCGTCCTCAAGCAGTGAGAAAGCACGATTCAGACGAGTTTATTGGACTCTCTCACGAGTTTGGTCAAGTCAGCAACATCAGCGATTTTAGTAGCGATTTGACGCAAAAATTGGTTGCAAAATCGTAAAGTCGACGAGTGAAGCGAGTTGAGTCGTGAGTTTAATAACAGTATTCCTAACCATTAATTGGATCACCTACATCTTTAAAAATAATTATTTTTTCAATTAGCTTCTCTATTCGGCAGCTTGTTTATAGTTTAA